AAAAAAAAAAAAAAAAAAAAAAAAAAAAAAAAAAAAAAAAAAAAAAGGAAAAAGGAAAAAGAAAGAAAGCAACAGATGTGCGCATCTACAGGGAAAAAAGAAGAAGAAATCGATTTTTTGTACATGCATTCCTATACGCGCCCATGATATAATATAATACCAACGGCGAGCGAGGCGGGCGCGTTTCGCATGCAAACTCTTAGTCACACCGTGGTACGCTCGGCATTTCCGGCAACACGACGCCCGCTGTAGTCGTCGCGTAGGGTATACATATACAACGACGATCTGCTGCCACCGAGAACGAGAATAGTGCGCCCACTGCCTCTACATATACACTCGACTGGGAAGAAGAGCACCAACAGCTGCTGATGGACCCGCAGCTTTCGCGCGGGAGATTTATGTTTTGCCGCCGATTGGAGGATCGCGCTTTTGTTCATTAATTATTGAATTTTTTTTTTTATTAAACAAAGCTCCTTCCTCGTTATAGGTATATTGACACGTATATATTATTAAATGGTTAAAATATTCTTTCGTGTCGGTAAAGTTGGGATAGTATATGTTCCAGCGAACGCGTGATTACATTGAACTTTACGCAAATGGTAATTGGAATTCATTTAATGACAGTTTAAGTCTATATGGCACGGGCGACATAAAAACGTGTGGCGTTAAATTGTGGGAGTTCGAGAGACAGGCGGCAGGGAAAATTTGGCAAAAGTTGATTACAGCCGGGAAATTACGAAAGTAAGAGGGTACGCGTGTATATATAAGTACGTGGGAGTCGATCGTATACACATAAACGTACACACTATGGCAACAGAGTTAATTGCAAACGTATAGGCTTGAGCCCGAGTGGTTAATTTTAATTCAGTTTTAATACGCAATTTCATGAAAGATGTGTACATTATTTATCTTGCAAATCGCCTTAAACACATAAAATCGTATCCGTAGTGTATAGGATCTCGCCAAGCAGTGCTGATTGTATATATGTATACGAAGAGAGGGAGACTTGAAGCTTTCGTTTATTAGCGAGTATAATTGAGTCTTATCGGCGATGAGAAATGGCTAATTAAAAGAGAGCCGAGCCAAATTTAATGCGGTCGTAAAATGCCCTCGCTCACCCAATTATACATATATATACCTACGTCGAGTACCTACTGTATTTATACGTGGTTGTGTACACGCGTCGCGCGTGAATTGTACAATTAAAGCTGATTTGCATTTTTTTTATGATTATTATTATTTTTTTTTCATATTAATAAGTAGTCGTTGCGATTGTTTATTTTATCATTTTTTGTTTTTTCAATGTTCAAGTAAGTTGATATTATTTTATAGTCGTGGCACAGGTGTAGGTACGTACAATAACATTGCACTTCGAGTAAGTGTCGAGGAAAATCATATACTCTGTGAATTTAAACGCGTTGTAATTGACACGACCTTTTTGCTTCATTTACAGGAAATATAATTATACCTGTATAATTATAATCGACTCGTTTAGCTATACAATAGAGGAAAAATGGGCATTTAAAAATAAAAACCAAAAAGATGAAATAAAAATTTATCCTGGATAATGATATGATACCAAGAAAAAAGTATAGCTCATCTCCTGCTCGCGGGACAAAGAATGCTCGGCCGTGATTACCCAATGTGATGTATGGAGCAACCTCTGCTCTTCGATTTCCCATAAAAATTACTCGCTCGCCGGGGCTTTCGGTGGGAGTCTCAGGGACGCGGCTGGGACCCCAACAAAGAGGCCCACGGAGAGGCAAAAAATAGTCCAGCCGAGCGAACAGGAGATGAGCGCACCCACGGACCAACGGAGCATAGGAGAGACCAAAAACTAGCGCGTTGTGTATATATACACGGTGGCAAAGGGAGAAAAAGAAACTCGCTGGAATTCGAAACCAATGAATGCCGAGGGAAGGAAGGAGAGGAGCCCTTGAGCGTCGGCGGGAGAGTTGTTCGCGGCCGATATTATATGCCCAACACTTTTTCGCCATCGCCTCCGACACGGACCCCAAAAACCCGGCGCCGGTCCTTCCTGGAAATTTGGCGTGGATAAAGGAAAAGAAAAAAAAAAAATCGCAACAAGAAAGAAAAGAAGAGAGTAGACCAGCTAGACCTACGAGAGAGAGAGCCTGTATTATGTATATATATACTCCGCGTCCCAGAGCGCCGTTTTCACACTGAATACATTTCGCCGGTGGTGTTGTTGTTGTTGTTGTTGTTGTTGTTTTTTTTTTTCTCCTCCTTTTTTTCGCTCGCTTTAGCCGAAGCCGCCGACAGTGGCGCGCTGAGAAACCCGTTGGTCCCGCTGCTCTCTGGTCTCGTGGTACACATGTGCCCATGGCTGGTCGGCCGACCTTCGGCGCGCGCGTGATTTAATAAGCCGGTCGTACGATTTGATAATCACGTGAAATCGGCTGGCACCACTTTTCTCGGGACGCGGTTTCTTTTGGACTGTTTTTTTTTTTTTCTTTCTTTCTTTCCACGGGGAGGGATACGCCTCCACCTTTTTTTTACGCGTTTCACTCCCTCTACTCGCGTATGTATACGTGTGTACACGTGGTTGCATTGCGCAACGAGGACACTGGCTCGCTTCTTTTATTTTTTTCCCTTCTCCATCCCTGGTGTTGGCTCGGCTTGCTTCAGGCGGCGTTTCACTGTAACCTTCCCATCGCCCTTTCCCAGAGATAACGGGAAGCTATGGCCGGACCGAGATTTATGTCGCCGGCCGGCAGCATCTGCTCCTTTCTGTTTGTTATCATTATTATTACCATTTCGTTTTTTTTTTTTTTTTTTTTTTTCTCACATCCTCCAACTCACACGATTGCCGAAAAGGCGCTGCGCCGATGATGCTTGACACAAAGGCGAACGCGGGATCGTTGCTCGTTAAAGCTCCAAATGATAGAGAGGATCCGTTTGTGGTTCGGGAGGTAGCTTTGTTTCCGATGCTAAATTATGATGGGTTAAGTATATAGCTGCCAGACATTTTTTATTACAGCAGTTAAGTACATGTCATTAAAATTTGGTGTCGTTGGCCTCTTTTCAATTTATAGAGGGATGCGTTTGCTCGTACGTTTGTACACGGGGATTCTCTTGTAGATGTCAAATTACCATTTCGAAAGCAAATCAAATCATACTGATTCGAGGAGATAGGTTGAAATGAATGAAAAAATAATCGGTTTTTCTCAAGGTGTTGTAGGTGCTGGCTCGCTCATTCTGCAATGGTCAAGGCTATGGTGATCTAGTAACGTTGAGTCAGAATCTTTAAGGCACAATATGTTGGGTGGGGTGGGGGTGGAGGTGAGATATCAATAACGCATTTAAGGTGCCAGCGATACACAGTCAATAGCTTTCTGCCAATTCCACGTGAACTTGAACTGATAGCCCTGGAAAGAGATTATCGAAAATTGATTTATACGAATGCCCTGAGCAAACACCTCATTCATTTGTGTATATAACTTGTATTTGATACCTTTGAGCTATTGATTTTTGTTTAGTTTTCCATGCACATTTCAAGGCATTTGGATACTGCGCCCTGCAACATTAAGGCCCCTTACTTGTGATACAAACATTTCCATACTGCCCATAGGGGTGAGATCTAATCAAGTTCCGCTCACTCCTCCTCTGACCCGCATGTGTTTTACGAAAATGTAAAATCCTCATTACGAAAAGTGGCAAAGTGTGTATTAGTGCGGGCGCGCCACTGAGGGGACAGCCCTTCAACGACCCTTTGAATGACCAAACTTACTTATCCTCTCATAATAAAAAAAAAAAAAAAAAAAGCTTACCAGTAACTAAAATGTTGGAGGTCACGCAGTCAACATATAATTGAGTATATAATATACTTATACGTATATTATACGCTACCCGATGTTATTGTGTATAAAGAACTAGTACAATAAAATAATTGTTTCATTTGCATCGCTCACGTTAATATTGTTCATCGATCACAATCGTGAAAAATTACTTTTATTAAAGTGTTGATGTGAAAGTATTAGTAAAAGGATATTTCTGTGGTTAATCGATAACTCCGTAATAGTAATTTTATTTTATTCAAACGGATTGATATAATTTTAAAAAATGGGTTTGCGGCATTTGATACTCTAAGTCTTCTCAACAACAGTTATCATATTAGCCTAAAACCCAAATTAATAATGACGCACGAACGCGCTAGGAATCCATCGTTGGCCAAACATTCTTAAGCTATACGAAAAAATAAACATTTGTCTTTCACTTTCTTCATTCCTGTCTCACAATTGTTTACATTATTACAATTTTTTTTTTTTTTTTTTTTTTTTTTTTAATTTTCTTTAAGGAAGTACTGGACAAGCGCATAGACGCCCGGGTCGACTCGATGATGGACAAGGGATTGGTACAGGAGCTACTCGACTTTCACGAACTGTACAACAAGGATCGTCTCAAGAAGAATGAGTAAGTGGATTCCAATAGAATAACGTTCAATAATATCGGGCGTGACTTGCACCAGTCCGGGTGAACGGCAAGAAAACCGTATCGGGAATTCATGTGATTTCTCGAATCAAAAAGCAAACCAACGCCATACGGAGATGTACACACACATATACATTATAGAATCATAAATCTTGTACGTCCAGAGCTTTCGTATTCAGCGGGTTTTTAGGTTCGTCTTGCGTTTTGCATCTTTTTTGTGGTCGGAACACGTACACCTCAACGACTTGTAGATTCCCAGCTGAAACCGAGGGATACCGCAGTTGGGACGCTTTTTGTAAAAAAACGCCTACTCAAATACTGTTTTTTTTTTTTTTTTTTTTTTTCTCCCGTCTCTGCATATTCAGAAGTCATCGGGCAATCTGCGCGTGATTACAAAAGGATTATCCTTGGACTATCGTAGTTCTTGACTGTTGCCAATTTACATTGATTACAGCGTTTGAAGTGAAATCAACAAGTGTGTATGTATACTTGTAATCGTAGAGTCGTCCAAATGCCGATGTTTAGCGATACTCGCTCGCCTACTTTAATTGGTGAAAGTTATCTACTGCATTGGCTTTTTTTTAAATCTACGATTTGTGCATATTTAGGCACATTCGCCACTTATCGAGGTTTTTTTGACAATTTTCATAAAACCGTTAACGATAACAGCCACGCGATTAAACATGTAGTGTGTCTTAAACCAGGGCGCTTTTTTTTTTCTCTCGTCGATTATTCACCGTTGCCAATCCAAACAGACGTGAACCAACTTGCGTCAATGAGTGTAGATAAATCGGTTAAGCGCGATAAAATACACGCGCTGTATACAACACTCGGACGCCGTACAGCTGCCATTCATAGAAATGTATGATGATTCTCACGTCCCGATGTGGTCACTCGGGGTTTCCGAGCCCGGGTAGCGCCACCGAGCACTATAACTCTATTGTTATCGCGTCACGGGCTCGCTCCTTAACAATATTCGCGCAGCAGATACGAAAACCTTCTCAATTGATGCCTTTATCGGAGCTCCATTTTCGGATATTACGTGAAAAATCCAAAGCGAACAAATATATAAACGACGTGAGCTTTTATCAAGCCTTTGGCAGCGTCGTACTGCAATTGAAGGTAATTTATTAATTTTTTTTCGTCGCAGATGTACACTTTTCTATTTCCATGCACCCATATGTATATATAATAACACCACGTAGCCGTGAGAAGCCGATAAATGAGGACGGACACGTGTCCGCGACTTGAGCCCAACGCACGCGTATACTCGCGGGCGCAAACACATACACACACGGACCGATAGATAATGTTGAAAGACATTTCCTGCGCAGGCGTCATGCTTTATTCAGATATTGTGTACCTATACGTGCCAATATACGAGAGCCGTTCGTTGCTCTATAGCCTGTACGTGTATATGGCAATATCGTGTGTGAGCCTCGGATACGGAGAATCCGAGTGGTATGCACAGGTGCTGCTCGCGCGTTTAATCGCCCGACATCTTTTCTACGATACGTCCCGCGCAGACGACGTTACTTACAATGTCTCCTTCATTCTAATGTTATCCATAATTTTTTTCATCGGCCCTTCTCCACGCGATTCTGCGAAGTAAAAGCTCTCTAACTTACTACAAATCGTTTGCTATAGCTGTAAAAGCACTCGGACTTTTTCTTGCGCTAAGCGCTGCAAAATCAAGTGTCGCTTTGAACAAAAATACTTGTCACGTTACACCTCAAGCCTTATATCAGTGTGTATCACCTCGCGCGAAAAAAAAAAAAAAAAAAACTGTGCTCCTGAAAAATCGGCGGGTCGGTAAGCTCATCGGTCCTCGTGATCGGTGGCTCTTATCGATAATTTGTTGTTATTCTTTGCCGTCTAAGTTTTATTTGCCATTGCAAAGCGCGGCTCTCGTCTGCACGATGCATATGCATGCGCGCGCGCGCAAGATCGGCTTATCATTCATGTATACGCACTGATCGGCGCAAAGCAGGATGCGTCGAAAATAGATCGGTAATGCAATGTTTCTCTTTGAAAAAGCTTTTTAAAAAACCTTCGGTGAAAACAAAAGTGTGTGTGTGTATGTGTGCTACGCATCACCGATAACACCGATAAGCTCGCTGTCATGGATTTTGTGATTACAGTACCTACATCAGGCGGTGATTGTGGCAATTTCACTATATAATCTTGTTTACTAATGATCGTCATATATTGGTAAATAATTTTCTCTTCAAAGCGATTCACGGCTAACTCGATAATACGGAGTAATGCCTATATTTAGCGAGACCTTATCAACACTGCGGAGCTTTCATTTGAAATTCTCACGCGTCCAAACCAGCCGAGCTGAAAAAATTCAGCAACAAAATAGCCTTGGCGAAGTTCGGAAAACGAAGGACAAAGGTGTTCGCGCGCCATGCGTAGTACCGGCCGGTGCGAAAAATTAATAATTAATTTTCAAGAGCGACGGAGCGAACGCCTGATTAAAAATGCTAATTCCCACCCCCCCTTTCCCTCCTGTGTGACAATGTATGCCTTTTATGCGTATGTGCTTTTAAAAGGGAAAACACACCGAAGTGCAGAGGAAGGAAGGAAAAAAAGGCAATAAAACAAAAAAAGAAATTGTTCGAGAAGCGTGACGGAGCTGTTGCAGTGTACGATGGTCGTGGTATATGTTTGGGAAACAGTCGTCGTGGTGATGCCGCATACTTATCCCGAGCGACTTGCGGTTGAGAGTACCATTTTGTTATACAACGATGCTTTTTTACCCGACCGATGTATACGGTGGCAAAGGCGAGCAAGTTTGGAAAAAACGAGCCGAGTCGTGAAAGCTCCGCCGAGAAAGCGGATGAGAAATCATCGCGGCGAGGACATAAGAAAAGGAAGAGCAGAAAAAGCGAAGCTCGTGCTGGACACGTGTAGTTATACAGCTCGGGGTCATTAAAAACCCTCCGCGGAGTATAGGCATATCCTGACTCGGAGGAAGAGAGATGCGCTTCCTGTGCATGCTAATTGAGTGGTGTGCGCCAACTAATAACTCGAACGAAGTCCGATCCGCGCCTTTTGCGTGATGTACTTCTTTATGCGTGGTCCTCGATATTAATACAGGCACGGGTAAACCAACGGTTGGAAGTGCCTATTATATGGGAGCCAGTGCACGGTGGGGGCAGCCTTCGTTTAGAATTTTTGGGTCGGTAAAAACAAGGAGTAAATTGAAAACGAAGTTTCTCATGACCGTTTACGATACAGTGAGCTCATTTGAAATCTGTGAGGGTTTCTTGGAAATATCGGAGCAACGGGCCGAAATCGAAAATTCCCGGTGCTCTTGTCTTCGCGAGGCATCATCCCTCGATATCGAATTAACGTATATACGGTTGTCGCGTAGATGAGAGGAAGAAAAAAACGAGGAAAAATTTCTAGACCATTGCCACCGATCTCGATACAGGAGCGCGCGAGCGGTCGATGTCAAACGATTCCCGATCTCCTCCCTCGCCGGGTCGATACGGATCGCAATAGCCAAACCAGCACGCGCCCGTAGCGCTCGGGTTACTCGCGGGGACGACTCGAGGGTGGAGCCCCACCGGTGAAACCCGAGATCTCCGGAGCTACCAAATTTTTGGGCCTCCAGCGTGAGAGAACGATTTGTTCGCCGGTGCGGTTCGCGGTTGGCTTGGCACTCGAGCTTTTTCGAGTCCTCGTGGTAGCTACGAACTCGTCCAACCCCGTACCTGTCAAAGTATTCGTGCACGAGGAAGCCCGGCGAACCGTAAAACAAAGTTGCCGATGCGTTTTGGGACTCGCTCGGGAGGAAGCCGATAAATCGTGCTGACCGACAAAATCCAAGCTTTTTTTTTTTTTTCTCTCGCTACACACGCTTCCCTGGGATACATCTCCAGTGAAAAATCACGCGTTGTGTACCATGTATCATCTATCCCTGAATTTGAGTTTCGGGCACCGAAAACTCCGAAAAGCAAAGAACCTTGGCGTATAAGGAGACAGGAGTGTTGCTTAACGATTTTAGCCATTTTTATCTCGTTTACTCTAGTTTTTTCACTTTACCAGCACATGTAGTGTTGTGAATCAAAAAAGCTCGAGATGTATATGTACGTGGGCAAGGAAATCATCCGATGTATACTTTTGACGTTGGCCCCTCCCTGGCCCGCGAATCGCGTCACGCTACACCTCCTCGATCTATTTCGATCGGTTGGTTAATACTTGGCCCTAGGCGTTCCTTAATTACCCTGGATGCCTGGATCGTTTCGCCGAAATCACGGCCGCCACTCTCCGCGATTATTTATGTTGTCCACTCCCCCTCGGCGCTCTTATCCCAACAAAGCTCGTTTTCCCACACCATCATCGGGCAGCCAAGAAGAAGCGAAAAAAAAAAAAAAGGAAAAAAAACTCTGTCGGAGCTAATCAAAGGGATCACCTCTAGTCCCCGAAACGTCGATACCTCGTTGGGAAAGCGATATGCAAATCGACCCGAGCGCCTGTATCCTATATACATACAAAGAAGTTTGGCGCTACCTGATGCCGGTCCTCCTTTTTTTTTTGGACTAGATTTCAGTGGTACCCAACAAAGAGAGGTCGGTGCCTATAACACGGGGTGGCGAGGACGGTTCGTTAGCTCGTTTCCGATTCACGTGCCATACATCAGGCCCCCTCCGATCGCCGCCTCGACTCGGCCGTACATCACCGAAAGTCCCCGCGATGGGGAAATTTATTGTAAATTGTTTCGAGACTTTTCTCTTACATACGCCGGTTGCCATGCAGAGCGACATATATACGCTGCCACGGACGTCCAGACGACGATTTTCCTCGCCCCTTCTGCACCGACGTGCCTTATCAAACGTATAAGTGTACTCGCGCGCGCATTCCGATGTATATACGGAGTACCGGGCGATTAGATGTTACAAACCCTGTCGGTGAAACCGTATAATCGTATCGAGAAATCGTATTGCATGTACACGTGGTTGAGTCCATTCGAGCGTTATAAGTTCACCGGGGAGTGACGTAACGTCTTACGTTGGCGCCTCGGACATTTTTACCACGAAAACGAAGGAGGTGTATAGTTTGACGCAGCAAGTCATTTCCATTCCGAGAAATCGGGGCATATTATATGCTGATCAAGTTCCGTTCGCGTATCAGCGACCAAGTTGACCACTCATCGATCAAACACGCCACCGCGTTTATAATAATGCCGGAGGTGGGACGTTGGTCACTATATAGATTTGCCGAGCTTATCTGTCGGGCGTGGCAGTCGTCGGTGTAATTTTTTTCTTTTTTGGATACGATAAAAAAAAAAAAAAAAAAAAAAAAAAAAACTTCAAATAAGTATCCGCATATAGTGTCCGTGACCCTCGACATTCCTCGGACCGTCCACTAGGGGAGACTGGCGAATGACATTTATAATATATGTATATATACTTGTTGCACGTAAAATCAAACATATACACGTATATGTACGGCTCTGTTTCAGGGAAGCTGACTACACGAAAGGCATATTCCAGAGCATCGGCTTCAAGGAGTTTCACAACTACCTGATCCTGTCAAAGGAGGAACGGGACGACGAAAAGGTGCGCGTCACGCAAAACATTTCTGTCGCATTAGGCTCGCGCTGGGAATAATTAACGGACGCGCCGTGTGCATCGGTACTCCCCAGAGAGTATACTTACATACAAAACCCCTTGTGCGCCTAATGCAACATATTATAGCTACGGGAATGTCACAACTGGCGCGTTACAATGCGGTTAGCCGAGAGGCGATGAGATTTTTCAGATTCCCGGTGAAATGTCTACATGGAAGCGGCGCGCGAGAGGGATGTCTATATGTATCTCTATTGAAAATCAAACGGGCCGTTATACGTGTCCAAGGACGTGTTCGTTGTCCATGTACGTGTTTATACGGTGGATTGGATGTCCCCGATCGATACGATGCAACAGTGTACGTGTAATCGATACGCGTGAAAGTTGCAACAGCAGTAGTGCTTTGCTCCTCTAGATAAGCTATTATCTCTCTCTTTCTTATTACTCGAGACCATTTGTAACGTTGTACATCAGTAACGAAATGCCTCGCCACACATTATAATATACACACATACGGGGGAGCGAGTTAAGTAGGAAGCGGAGCTTAAGAGGCGGCGTGGGTGTGTATACGTAAGAAAAATGTGATAAAGAGGAGGATCGTTATCTCTGGCGCTTTTTGGGAGGACCGCGCGTTTGCTCGTGGACTAAAGTAAACCAAATTACGGCTGTAGCTGTTTTGTTATATATACAGGAGAAAAGGGGGCCAAAGTGGGTTTTTTTACCCTTCGTCTATCCTTGAGTCGTTTGCTGTACGGCCCATATCGGTGGGGCTGAAAATTTTGGAAAATTCACTAGCCCTCGAGATTTCCCGAGGGATCCTCCCACCCCGTCGAATCCACCCGAGACAATTTAAACGCTCGCGAGTACACACATCAAAGAGCCGCGTGTCCTTTGCGCCAAAGTCCGCGGACGAGAATAGCCTTTTCCGACTCGAGCCTATAATTACATACGGGCCGCGACGCATTCGTCTTCCCCGTGGAGCCCTGCAAGAAGGGAATCGCGTGTACATGTATATATATAGGAGTGCTTCTAAAAGTAGAAGATCGCCCTGCATCAGTGTAGCGCGGTTGGACCTATGGAGAATCGAGCTGTGTTGGCATAGGGCAGGAATGGCCGTACACCAGCAGGCAGTGGCTAGACTTTACGGGCTATTTGTTTCAGTAGGGCGAGAAGCTGCTGCAACAATCCATCGAGGAGTTGAAACGAGCCACGAGGAAGTACGCCAGGAGACAGCACAAGTGGGTGAGGAACAGGCTCGTACGAAGGGCCGACAGGCAGGTTGGTCCATCATTCGTTTCATTTATTTATTTATTTTTTTTTTTTTCGTCTCTGTATTATCGCTCGCGAGTGAGAGAGTCGCGTGTAACATCGGCCATACTTGGTCGCGCAACTCACCCATACCGGGAGCAATAATTTCCACGAAAATAAAAGGATCGAGCATACGCCTATTAACTCTCAATTTTCTCCCTCACGGCTCATGTAATACGTGGTTGGGTGTACACTATACTGTACTCGCAAGGTGCGCCAGCGCCCATTTTTTCTCAGACGCCAAATTAAGTGAAAATCCGATCGCTACCTTATAAATATATATGTATACATACACGTACGATCGGAGCCTTGCACGGGCTGTTATCGCGGAATATAATTGCTTATCGCTCGAGCGGCGCGAGCCCCGATTGTCCGGCCTCTCCTCTGTCACTTTCACATTCTTGCGCTCTCTCTCTCTATACTAGCTTGTTACACGCCCTCTCTAGCTCCAAAGGAGTAAAAAAAAAAAAAAAAAAAAAAAAATAGGGGGGTGGTGTAATGGTACCGGTGTAATGGCATACAAGCGTATAGCTGTGAAGTTATGAATTTCGGTGTGCAGGTGCCGCCCCTGTACTCGCTGGACAGTACGGATGTGGGGCAATGGGAGAGCGAGGTCTACGGGAAAGCGGTGGACATCGTCTCGGCGTATCTGGACGGCCGCGCGCCCAGCCAGCCGGCGCTCAACAGCGTCATCACCGACACGCGAATCGCTGACAACAGCACCGAGACCAGCCAGTACTGCGAGGTATGGGCTTAGAAATTGGTTCTTCGTGCAACGCTATCGCGAAACATTGCGGAGTTTGAGCTTTTTTTTTTTGGTTTCGCAGGTTTGCCAGAGGATTTTCATCGGCGCGCAGTGGAACGAGCACTTGCAAGGAGCCAAGCATATGAAGGCTGTTCGGCGTAGAAGGAGACAGGAAGAGGCCAATGAATATAGAGAGGCTGTCGAGATTGAAGGGAAGGATGAACGAGCCGCGTCCGTCGAGGCGGAGGCGTGATGATTTATCGTCGGGCCAATTGTACAGATCACAAGTTGCATTTCTGCGTTTTTGTATAAAATTTGCATTTATTTTTTGCCTTTTTTTTTATAATAAAACTGCACAGTATTAGGTACACGTAATGCTATTTCTACGTTGACTCCCGTTACCAGTAAAATAAAATCCTGTTGCTTGCGATTTCTATGATTTCATACAAATTATGCGGGAAATCATTTAATTATACCTACCTACTTTTAAAAAATTCTGTACATAATTTTTTTGTATCCGACAGTATCTACCTTATCGACCGCAAGCAACTTATATCTGTCTTATCGACGACCGCTTCGAGCAATTTTGTACCTTATCAACGGTGGATGGTCATTAGTCAGATTTCTGCCATACCTACAACGGAATTTTTCAAAATGTATTTACTTACAGTAGGTACTCAGCACATTTTCTGAGGTAATACAAAAATATGGTATTTAATAGTTCCCAATATTTTTGAAAGATGTCAACAAGTGAAACTTATCAGAACTGTAGGTATTTCAAATCAAACTACAAGAAAAAAAGTTGTAATCCGAAGAAATTTGATGCATAAAATTATTAAATGCTCCTCCATGACCCTAAATTCATGTAAAAAATGACTTTCAAAACCCATCCAATTTTCAAGTAATTCATATACAAGATTCTTGTTCATCGTTACACGCTCCCTATAGCTACCATCACCGATCATTATACGTCTACGAAAAAAACCTTGCGAATGTTTGTTTATTTCGATGAGTTGGAACGCTCGACAAGTCCATCACCTGCGTCATGGTAATCATACACCTACGTTAAAAAAAGGGGCGTACGATCAAGTACAGCGTCATCGGACATCACTGCCCGTGAAAAGAAAAACATATGCTACATAGACTCACTATTCTAGCTCTCGCGCGTTCCGTGTCTAGGTCAACGGGCCGTCTCCCGTTCCCATAAATTATTCCCCGCAGTTTCCGAGAACGAATCGTCATCACCATCGTCGTTAGTCCTCGAGTGTATACGTATCTTGTAAGTCCACACGAGGACAGCAGTCCCCTTTTTTCTTTTTTTTTTTTTTTAATCATGCCAGTCTGTGGTGCTTTGCGAACGAGGCATCGCTACGGGTACAGTAGACTATATATTCAAGGACCGCCAAATCACGCTGGGAAATACAATGCTCTCCGTTGATCGCGTCACTCCATTCAAATGAGATGTTAATTACCGCATTAATTCCCAATAAGTAACACGTACACGTACAGTCTTCCTTTCTCGTTTATACTTATATAATGTGTGAGAGGTATGTAGGTCCACACGTTTCACATTAGAATATCCGGTTTCGCGGGACAACGGCAACGCTCGACTCGCGCGCTAACGGCCGATAAAAATATTTACACGCGACAGGTGTATAAGTATACCCACTTGAATCATTATCACGATAAACACACAATTTTTAGTACTTCAGCAAACGAAGCCAGTTTACCCCTTCCCCTGCTACTCCATACACGCACGCACGTACTTTCAGCGAACGACCAAAAACGCCGATGTGGCGTTATTACGGGCCTCTCCTTTGATTAGCACGTATAATTAACGTCCGAGGGAGGGGGGCGGTCAAAGGCTGGAGAGTTCACTTCGACGATGTATAAATCAGCGACATTATTAATTAGCTGTCCAGCAGCTTTGGAGGGCAAACACTTTTTACGGCGCGTTGCAGCCTCTGGACACACCCCCTCCTACTCTCTTTATCCCTTGTGGGTACAAGGCACACACACAGCCGCTCAAACCGAAGCGCAACAAATTTCGAGATCGCGAGTGTGCACCGGGGGGGAGCTTATGCGCCGCGACGTTTATGAGGCCGTGGAGAGCACTGCCGGATCTCAAGTTAAATTACCCGTTACCAAGTGGGGGGTGAGGAAGCGCGAAAACTTCGCCCTCGCTCAACGCGCGACGCCAAATGGGCCTTCGAAGGCTCGCGTTTGTATTCCAGTCGCGTTGGTACTCCGAGCTCGGGTTCCTTTTTTGCTATGGTGTTTTTGGCTTTTTTTTTTACCCGCGGTGACTTTTTCATTTATAACAGTTGGTTATCGAAAATGACATTTGTTGTAGTAGTCGAGTAGTCGATATTTCACGTCAGGAATGTTTGTCGAAAAAAATATTTTTGGTTGATGCTCGGTGGTATAGGTATGAAGTGGTATATTTCAGACGCGATGACATCAACGTTGTGACCTAATCGCGTGAATTTTTTTTTTTTTTTTTTTAGCAGATTAAACGCGTAATATACGATGCGTGGAAGAGAGAGAGAGATAGAGGCGGATCATGTAAGGCGAAGCGGCTGCCGTGCGCGCAACATTAAACCATAAATTCCGTTTAATGTACGGCGCTTTTGACGCAAGACCAACGCGGATACGCATCAGTTCAAAAATTACATGGGAGGCCTCTACACGCGTAAATTCCACTTTGGCGTTGCTTACGTCCCTTTCGTTTTTGCCCCGAGTAATTATTACAGATGCGCGTTATCGATGGCCAAAGATTAATCGCTCGAGTTATACGCGATGTACCCGGCTGTAGGTGCTACAAAAGGCGAACGAATTTCAAATGGCACAGTAATACCCATGGATGTGGTGTGGCTTTATTTTCTCGAAATTCGCGTGATTTGTGCCAACACACCCATTGTGAAATCACGTCCGATGTATTGTCTTGCGTGTATCCCCCCTACGAAGCAGCACATTATATGCGTATAGGTACAAGCGTGGAGTAACAAAAAGATCTGTTATCACTAAATTGCATTAGCGAATCGCGCAATACCAGAACAACTCTCGACCGCCGGCGCGCAGCGGCGTGAGGTTGTTGAGGCGCCTTATAAATGAGTGCGCCAACCGCGATATGAAACCTGTTTTCTCGCTCTCTCACGGCATAATCGAAACGCACGTTTATTCGATGTACATGTTACGTTGCTTCAAAAGTGCCATGGCTGATCGTTAAACACTTTTTCATTCTTTTTTAATAGACTGTCTAAAGCGTGTATCAAAAAACAGCTTTATACAGCTATGCAGAGGCTCAACAAGCCAAAAGGGATGGGAAAATTTTTTTCTAAGGAATCATTTGAACCTGTTAAATTAGATGAGAGCGTGTTGGTGCGAGAAAACTCGATCTTCTCTCACTGTACGGCACACATGGTGTGACGATAAGAAAGTTTTTCTTAAACTCGTGTAAATTGTCGCATTGCATTCCGACACGTGCGAAATTGAAAATGTCATCAACGATGATCAGATCTCGCGTAAGATTAGGCTTTCCAGATTTCAGTTTTTTCAATATATCGCGGAATCCAAAGAAAAAGTTTTGTCGCCTTGTACATATAGTTTCACACGTGTTTAAAAACTCGTTTAAAATTTTTGATTTCGAGAAAGTTATCACCTTTCAATCAAATTGAATTTTAATACGTGTCTTTCGTAAGGACCACTGCTGGAGTTGAGAAAGATCATGGCTTTCTCTTTCTACTTTTTTTTGCTCAGATTTTTTTTATCCTTTTTCCATTATTACACTTCTGAACAACTCAACACGAAATTGGATTGTTATTTTTATTTCAATTTCACCCGGACGACGTAATTTTCAAATTTTATCAAACGCCGAGACAAAATAATATTCCCAGCTCATTAGCCACAATCAGCGCATACAGACGTAAATTCAACGCTTAATATATACGCAGCATAAAAAAAAAAAAATAAAATAAAATAAAAAAAATCCATGGAAACGGCAAAAGTTGCGTGTACGTGTACACTGCAGTCGGGGGGGGGGAGGGGAAAGGATAATAATAAAACAAAAACAAAACGGCTCTCGGCTCATTTGCATGAGAGTGTATATACACACACAGTCCTCCATATATTCAGAGGCAAATAGAAAGAAAACAGACGGTGCTGTGCAAACAAAAACAAAATCGATTTCAGACTCGGATCGGAAGAGAGATGGAGAGAAGCTTATACTCGGTGGTAATGCGCTCGCGTAGATTTGCCACGAGATGAATCACCCACGGCTTATCGGTTAATTAAAAACGTCACCGAGTACAAACGCGTCGATTTTCCGAAAAATGGCTTTCCCGTAAGATTCTTATTTTATTTAGTTTTTGACGCTCACAGTCACTCCTTACCGTATACGTTATAGATGATTAAAACAGAGAGACATAGCTGAGGATTGTTAAGCGCAGTTTTGATGGATGTTAGGGTCTTTGTATATCCATACGAGCATACTTGCTCGCGAGATAAGTACTGGTATACAATTTATGAACGATAGTTTGCTTACCGAGAATTAAAAAAAAAAAACAAATACCACAAACGGCATTACACCGATCACTGATAGCGCGCACGGGTATAATAACTAGTACGGAGTAGAATAAAAGCGCGTGCAACCAGCTTATCCGTTTATTAACGGCGCAACGATTCAAATTCGGTCGACTGCAATCTGTGGAAAAATCGAAAGGAAAAACAAAAACACGCACACCTCCAAGAGAGAAAAACCATTTCACGGCCGAAGGGGTATCGAAACACTCTTTGGACAGCTCGATCGGCTCTTGGAGAGTCGAAAAAACGAGGTCCTCGGCGCGACCGTCTCGTCGGTGTAATTCCACCCGCGCGTAACAAGCGAAGCGTCATAATGAAGCGTCGGGAATTCGAAATTGCACTCGGTCCTCCGGTGGAGTTGCACCTCGTTCTCCTGTCCGTGTACACACACAGTGGAGTCGCGACAAAAGCATTCCACGAGCTGGAGGGTGCGGGGCTTTCACGGCCATCATGGAAAACACTCGTGTGTATGGACACATGTTTTAATTATGTTTGATCGCGGCCGCGAGTTGCCTCTTTTGTCCGATGGCCTTACGCCTGGCGTAATCGGCAAAGTGAACCGTGTGTGTACCCATACTGTGTTGTGTGGGACACAAAGGGACAACGGCACGAAATTTCGGAGATTTTAATTAATTTCGAGCCACGCGGTGAGCGAGGCACATCGCTTTGACTTTCTTTCTTGTTTTTTCAAACCCTGTATACATATTTTCGGGGTGTCGCGCTGAAAAATGCCAATTACGCTCTGCAGGATGTGCTATTTTTTTA